AACAAGTGAACTGAAACATGATTCAAGTGAACGAGCTAGTAGTACTGTCTGAGTACTAGGCAATAAAGAAGAATATAATATATAACTTCATGAACTAAACAAAAACCCTATAATATATATTGAGTTAATTTTTTGTATAGTTTCTCAAATACTATCTTTCTCCAATATATGAATTACTTTTCTTTTTAGCCAGCCCAAAAATGAATAAACAATTTTATATTGAGTAAGAATTTAATTTCAAAGTGTTCCTTTTTATACTTAATGAAATGAGCTATAGCAACAGAAATATCTTTCATTTATTTTGGAAAATATTATTCAAAATTTTTTTTCTTAAACTCTGAAATAAGTCAAACAAACTCATATGAAATAGGAAAAAGGCAGTAGTAATATTTTCTATCAACTTTGGTTTTTGTTAAATTAAGTTCACTCAAGTAATGATAATATTCTTCAAGAAAATATTTTCTTTTATTTATACTAGGTAATTTAAATCCCTCGATGCTTTTGAACAATTGTTCCGATAATCGAATGTTATAATAAAAATGAAATTAATTTTAGTATGTTTTAAGAACACTTTTACATAAATTAAATGATTTGACATTATCACATATTTCAAGAATTCTAAATATATAATGAATGATTAAAATTATCTTGATATCTAATAAATTTTTTTAATCTTTGACATAATTTCTCATAATATATGTTTGATGATATATAATTGTATTGTTAAAACTGAGTGATGTTTTTATGTAGTGATTAAACACAGTTATTCTATTTTTTTGTACATGAAAAATATATAATCTGATAATTTTATGGTTTGAATAACTTCTATTGAAAAAAATTATGTAAAAATTTTCGATAATCAATATTAGTCATAAATAAGAAATAGCGTTAAAAATGTACACCACAAGATCTTGAATAAATTTTTTTCTTACAATCTACTTGTCTAAGGTCAAACGTTCACCACTTTCATTATTATTTATTTGTTACTCTAACAAAATTTATAGAAGGAGATAAGTAAATTTGAAACAACATCAAAATAATGTTGTTTACCCTTTTAGAAATTCATTCTTCATTAAACTGGTGCTCTGAAGACCCTTCTAGATACTTCATCAATGCAACTTTATGACTTTTTCATAAATATGTATGTAAAATTGTTGCATTATGAAAGTACGCGTAGATCAAAATGTTGGATTCTAAAATCATGTTAAATAATATTCCTGGACTTTAAAAATATTAAAAATGAGTCTAACCTAGATAACTCAAATGTTCAACAATGACCTGACACAGTCATAAGGACAACAAATCTATATTAATAGACATATTTTTTGTATCTTAACATATTACTCTAATTTAGAGTATGTTTTGTTTCATATTCTTCTAATTAATCTTGCCAAAAAAAGTCACAAATATTAAAATTCACAGAAGTTAGAGAATTGTCATAATTTCTTTTTTTGATGCCCAAGATAAAATAATGACTTTACTTATCAATGTTACTTAGGTCGTTTAGATTGTAAGGAGGTTTAGTTCAAATTAGTTATTACTCTATATACATTGTAAGACCCTTAACTTGATGTCAACTGGAAACTATAACCTTTAACTTTGTATGTGCACAAGTAGACACTTAAACTTGTACAAAATTGAATAAATACACATCCGTCCTTCATGGCACCCTACATGAAATTTTAGTGTCCTATGTGGTGTCCTACATGTATTATGTCATGTACGACACGTGTCTACATATTCAATTTTGTACAAATTTAAGTATCCACTTGTCCATACTCAAAGTTGGAGGGCATAATTCTTTGTTGAATCCAAGCTAAGATTCATGATTATGTATTATGCCTTTATTTTGCTTATTAACTATTTCTTAATATTTCACTATTTTGGACGAAGCAAAGATCATATTACTTATAATGACTCCAGAGAAAGTTTGTATTGTTTTCATTTTTATTGTAGACTAAATGAATTTATTTTTATTCTCAACTTCCCTTATGGTGTAGATATATGTTTTTGAATATATTTTTTCAAAATTGTTAATCTTCTCCAGAATTAGAGAATTATCACATACTAGGTAATTTGTCTGCGCTTTGCACGATCATAAATAATATGTTAATTGAACTTGAAAATAGTTTTTTTTAATATACGTACATTAAAAATAATAAGAAAATAGGTTCTTAAAAAATATTAACAATATTTCAGCATGAATTTAATTATTTGTCATTATTACATAACTCAAGAACCTAAACTGAATGAATTAGTCACTAAATAATAAATCATTGATTTTTTAATCAACATTAAAAGGAAAATAAAGAAGAAAATAAGTATATATACAAAGGCACTCCCTAATAAAAAGAAACATTTAAATTCCATAGGTTATACAATTGTGATATGTCTTAGGAGAAAATTTAAAAATATTAACATATTTAAAAAAGAAATTACGCTTGAACATGAAAGCAATTATAACTTTTGAAGTTGCATAATGATTTTCTTTAATTGATAAGTGAGAAACATATATTTGTAATAATAGATAAGATTTAAGGTTATATATAGTACTTTTAAGTTATAGAATTTAATATAGAATATCAACCCATGAATTCTTGAAAGGGAGTACAATAATTATTTTCTGCATAACGAGTATACGTACAATATGTGTATACATTAAATCTAACCGGAGATAATAACTTTGCAGAAACATAAACAATAGAGTTTAAAATATGTACTCAAAAACAACAATTAATATCATAAGCATAAAATTTTGAGTGTAAAAAACACACCAAAATATGTAAAGAGAGAATGAAATAGAAAGAAAAAATTGACTCCACTTACTGCGCAATGTCTCCTTTAAGAAAACTATTCCCCTCCAATACAAGAGGTGTAAAGCTATATATCCTCTCGGGATGGACGATTTTATTCACCAACTTATTGATGTAAAAATAATGGTGTTAGTAAATTACTCAACAGGAACAAAGTACACAAATATTTAATTTTGCGCATGAAGAAGAAGAAGATCGGGATTTCCGTTGTTAAAAATGAGAGGAAATCCCACTATATCTATAGACAACTAGTCATGGACACATGAGCTGCACGTGTAAGCATTGTTAAGTTGTATCATGCTTATTGTTCCTCCAATCATTATGTGATACCAATCTCATTGTGTAAGAGTTTTAATTAGTAAAATGACATCTTTGAGTAGTTATTCCTATTACAACCCATAAAATAGGATAAGAGGAGATGTTACCGTAACAAGATATAAGTGCTTAATAATACTCAAGGCACTATTGAACTGCAAGTGGAATGAGTAAATACAGATAGTCAGAATATGAGGATGAAATAATGGTGAAAAAATAGCAATTCCCACATACTAATATAGGCATTCAAACGACTTGTTAAAAGAAGTTAACCCAGCGTAGCCGCTTGACTACATCAAGAATTACTTATTATCACCAAAAAAATACTTCCAAGCAAAGAAATAAATAGTTCTCCGAAAACTTCCAACTTATGTACATTTTAATTTACGGATCATTTATGAAGCCACCAATTAATAACCTCACACACTTTCACGCCATCACCAGAAAGAACAAAGCCAATAACAAAAAGGAGTATATCTAAAGTCTAGATTATATGTAACTTGTATTTCAACTAATTCAAAATTCAGGTAGTTGAAACTATTTTTTGAATTAAATTTCGGCTAGTTAGCAGGAGTGTTCTATAGCATGAGAATAAGTACAAAAAGAGGGCTTGGACTTACCTCAACATACAACACAATGGATAAAACTTTTTTCCTTTCAAACGGAGGGTTAGGATATGATGACTTAAATCCCCGCACAAATAAGAAAGTAAATTAGCTAACAAAAAAATTCACCTTGTCGTATATGAGTCTAATGGATAGCATTTGACTTTTGTCCAATTGAGCTTGTAATTGGGTTGTCTTTTTCCTTCAATCATCTGGTAGAGAATTGAGTCGATTCCTAGAAAAAGTTGCTGAAATGCGTAAATCCAATCCCTTGAGGGCTCTGCCAATGCTCTGCCTCTAAGCTGCTGCCACACTCCAAGAAAGAAGAGAATGCCATAACAAATCATCTCTTAAGATACCTCCCATGTCCGATCTTCCAGATAGTGTGCAATAGCTCGCGCCTGTGTTCATTTTCAATGCTCCATTTATAGGAAATTACCAGCAAATGGATACACATTTGACAATTGGTTCTAGTTTGAGAAGATTTTCACAAAATGTGATCTAAGGTAATGTCAAGGCTGGCCTTATTCATAGCACTTTGGATATTCCAGAGAATGTGTTGAGTCATCATATGTTTGTTTAAGCTTCTCTTGCCACCATATTTGCAACTGCAACTTTCCTTCCATATTTCCCAACACACAAATATTGGGGCAGATTATAGAACCAAACCATGTACCGTGTTTTTAGGCTTTTGATTCCACCATTCATGCAATATGTGTCTGATTGCACATGTTCGACTTCTATTCCCATGGGCTTTCCCTAGTAATTCCATATATGTTGGGCTGCTGCTCAATGCATAACGTTACAGAAAAGCAAAATGAGTTTGCTTGGCTTTTGAACATGCAGAAACATACAACAATGCATGAATCCAACTTGTTAAAAATAATAAATAGATGAAAAAAAATAAGATACAGAAGGACTCATAGTAAATAGGGAATATAGAGTAGCTTTTGATAAATAAGGAGGAAAATTCTATTTTTACCTGCCAATGATAGATATATTAGATTAATATTAGAACATCTGGTCTTAGGACGCCAGTTAGTAGTTTAGTCGTATTAGGATTGTCTTACTAGTTCAGCAGTTATTATTTAATTAGATTACTTTAGTTCAGTTCGTTTAGGAGTCTTATCATTTTCGTTGTAACTCTATTTAATAACTTGCTGCCTTCATTAATAAATGAACATTCAGTCTTCATATGGTATCAGGTCTCTTCACGCTCTAAAGAGTACTATCCCGTATTCTTTTCTCCTCACGCACATTAGAAACAATGACCAACAACAATGGCAACAATCCCAGAGTTGTCAATGTTGATAACACGACAAGCACCAATGTTATCATTCAATTTAATCCCGCATCCCAATTACCCATCAAACTAAGTGGTGGTCAAAACTTTGCCACCTCGAAAGCCCAATTTTCCATGCTTATGTATGGCTACAACCACTTTGGCCATCTCGATGGAACCAGTCCGTCCCCTAGTCGCACGAATACCCTCGGCACGAATATCTCTCCCAATCCTGTCTTCTTAACTTGGTTCCATCAGGATCAACTCATCCGGAATGCTCGCATGGCTTCTGTCAAACCCACTATTTCTCCTACTTTTTCAGCCGCTGACTCAGCTAAATCAGCTTGGGATGCCTTGCATACCACTTATACGAACAAATCTCAAACTCGAGTCTTCAGTCTGCGTGATCAGCTTGCCTGTGTCACTAAGTACTCTCGTTCCATTACTTAATATATTCATACTATTCGGTCCTTTTCGGATGAGTTAGACACTGCTGGTGCTCCTATTTCCAATCCTGAACTCATTGTCAAAATACTTAGTGGTCTAGGTCCTAAATTTCGTGAAATATCTGTTGACATTCGTGCACGCGATAAACCTATCTCCTATGAGGAACTATTTAAAAAGTTACTAGAATTTGAACTCTTCCTCCGCCACGAGGATGATAAGAAACTATCTAGTACCATCACTGCTGCAGTTGATACTCCCACTAAATTCAACTCCAATAATTGCAACAACCGTAGACAAAACAGCAACTCTCAACAATGGAGCCAGAACTTGCGTCCAAGCGCTCCACCACAAGGCCAATCCAATTCAAATCCAAACGGTATTATTCGCTGTCAACTATGTAACGAAATTGGCCACACCGCCAATGTTGCCGCTCGAGATCTCATAATCACTTTGAAGCAAAAGCCATCTATGCCGCTGGGCTTACAACGGAGACCAATCCCTGGATAGCTGACTCAGGATCCACCCATCACATCACAACAGAGCCGCACAACCTACAACCATACCGCGGTAACCAAGATGTCTCCATGGGTGATTGTAACAAAAATCCTATCTCTCACACTGGTTCTTCTAAATTAAATGCATCAAATAATGTTTCTAAGCTAACTCACACTTTGTTTGCCGCTTCCATCAAACACAAGCTTATCTCTATTTCTAAATCTTCTCAAAACAATCTTAAGTATATTGAATTTTTTCCTTTCAACTTTGTTGTGATGGATCTGAAAACATGGTAGCCACTGGTGCACGGTCGAACTAACAATGGACTATATGAGTGGCCTGTCTCACATCCCCAAGCTCACATTATCTTCACATCCAGCCCTCTCACTACTTGGCACTAACGTCTTGGTCATCCTCACTCTAGATTTCTTAGGTTTATTTTGAATAAAGTCTCGCTACCGTTTCATGAGAGAGACAAAATGTTTCATTGTAATTCATGTTTATCTAATAAATCTCATCGACATCCTTTTACTCAATTATCATTGTGTAGCTCTAAACCACTTCAAATTATTTTCAGTGACTTATGGGGGCCATCACCAGTCTTATCTCTTGATAAAAATTTGTATTATTGTATTTTTTTTGACCAATATACGAAGTACACTTGGCTTTACACACTAATAAAGAAAAGTGAAGTTAAAGATATCTTTCAGAAATTTCGTCGTATGATGGAAAAACATCTTGACACTAAAATTTTATCATTATATACTAATGGTGGAGGTGAGTATGAAAGCTTGACTCCTATCTTTCACTTCACGGCATTCAACACCTCTCTACCCCTCCCTATACGCCCCAACGAGTTGCACTTGCAGAACGACGACTTCGCCATATTGTCGAAACTGCAAGAACACTCTTCATGAGGCATCTCTCCCACCCCAATTCAGGTCTTTTGCATGCCATCACACTTTCTACCTCATCAATCGTCTTCCAACCTCTCACCTCGATAATAAATCCCCATTCCAAAGATTACTTAGAAAATCACCTATTTATAACTCCCTACGAATTTTTGGTTGTTTATGTTATATATGGCTAAAAACATACTCCAAAAATAAACTTGAATAAAAATCTAACCCATGTTTCTATCTTGGATTCTCACCATCCCATCACTGTCACTAGTGTTTTGATCCAATTTCTGTAAAGGTTTACTTATCTCGAGATGTGCAATTTGTTGAGGATGTTTTTCCATTTAAGACATTGTTCTCCAACGTTGCCAGTAAATCAACTCACCTGAATGGGCAACACCAACAATGCCAAGTTCATTGAACCCCACACCCAAACTTCCCATAGTTACAGATATGCCAACTCCATTAGAAATTGCAGCACACACTATTACAGATTTTCCATCACCATCTGCTTCCTCTCCATCCCAGTCCGGAGACAACTCAAACTCGCAGTCCTTATCCGATGATGCATCAGCGGCAGACGCAACAGATTCACCTCTCAAGGTAAATTTTTTTCTTCCTCATCTTCAATAATTCCTGCTTCCTAGAACACCTCTTCTATATCTACTGCCTAACGTTTGGCACTACCACGCCTCCCTAAAACCTCTCAAACGCCGATACCAACTAACACACAAAGCAGCTTGTCTCCTCTCCTTGCCTATCACCGTAGAAACACCAACCCACCAACACATATGGCTCCTCAACCAGCCTGTCCTACCAACGAGATAGAACTCCCACATTCTCCGCCTCAATGTTCGTCTCCTCTTACCTGTGCTGTCACTCGACCCCAAAATAATATCACAAAACCAAAAAAGATTTTGGATTACCTAGCCAAATTGAACTCCACTGTCATACCCACCACTGTCAAACAAGCACAAAAATATCCAGAGTGGCGTTATGCAATAAAACATGAATTTGATGCTTTAATTAAAAATCAGACTTGGGAACTTGTTCCTCCTGACCCGACCAAAAACATTGTATCTTGCAAGTGGCTTTTCAGGATCAGGAGAAATGTTGATGGGTCCATCGACAGATACAAAGCGCGCCTAGTTGCAAAAGGCTTTACTCAGAGGCCAGGCGTTGACTTTCATGCCACATTCAGCCTAGTCGTCAAGCCCACCACAGTTCACATCGTCCTCTCTGTGGCAGTTCGTCACAACTGACACCTTCGCTAGCTAGATGTCAATAACGCCTTCCTCCAAGGCAACCTGGAAGAGGAAGTGTACAAGGCACAACCTCCGGGGTTTACTAGTGATGACAAACCAATGCATATATGTCGGCTACGTAAGGCAATCTATGGCTTGAAACAGGATCCTCGGGCGTGGTACAATGCCCTCACGGGTTATCTTTCATCCATAGGCTTTGTTAAGACAAAATCTTATGCCTCACTACTTGTCAGACATGGTGCAGGTGATACATTGTTCGTCCTCGTCTATGTCAATGATATTATTATCACTGGGAGCAATACTTTAACTGTCAATCAAGTTATCACTTCCCTTGCTTCTAAGTTCTCTATTAAAGATTTAGGTAATCTTCACTACTTTCGTGGTGTTGAAGTGATACGCAGCTCCAACGGTATAATCCTCACCCAAGCAAATTATGTGAATGAAATTTTGAATGATGAACTAATGACCGACTGCAAGAGTGTCAACACGCCCATGAGTGCATCTGAGTTACTTACCTTATCTGATGGAACTCACTTGGCTGATGCTACACGTTATCGCCGAGTCTTGGATAGGCTTCAATATCTATCCTACACTAGACTTGACATAGCCTATGCAGTCAACAAGATTTCTCAATTTATGCAAGCACCGTCAGACCTTCACTGGAAGGCTGTAAAACGTGTTCTTCGATACCTGCGGGGTACCATTCAAATCGGCCTATGCGTTACTCCCATTGATGAATTCAATTTACATGTGTACTCTGATGCAGATTGGGGTGGGGACATCATTGACAGAGTTTCTACATATGGTTACATCCTATTTCTTGGTAACAATCCGATTAGTTTGTCATCAAAAAAGCAAAATATTGTCTCACGATCCTCCACTGAGTCCGAATACAGGGCAGTGGCTAATGCACTTTCTGAAACTTTATGGGTCACCAATCTCCTAAATGAGTTGTGTTCCAGTACATCAGCTACCAACAATTTATTGTGACAATTTTGGAGCCACATTCTTGAGCAAGAATCCTGTCCTCCATAGTCGTGTTAAGCACGTTGTTGTGGACTTTCACTTTGTTCGCCACTATTTTTAAAAATTAAAAGGGTTCGTGTTGTTCATGTCCATGGTGCCGATCAAATAGCAGACACCCTTACCAAGGCACTTTCTAAATCTACTTTTGAGTCTAATTTGTTCAAGTTAGGCTTAGTGACACATCGTCTAACTTGAGGGGGCATATTAGAATATCTGGTCGTAGAACGCCAGTTAGTAGTTTAGTCGTATTAGGATTGTCTTACTAGTTCAGCAGTTATTATTTAATTAGATTACTTTAGTTCAGTTCGTTTAGGAGTCTTATTACTTTCATTGTAACTCTATTTAATAACTTGTTGCCTTCATTAATAAATGAACATTCAGTCTTCATAATTGAGACACAGAAAAAAGCAAATTAATGGAACAATGACATGATGTTGGAGATATTTGTATAGACCAAGGAAGTATCTAGGTTTTGGAATAGCTGCAATGGAGACTGACCGTTGGAAAAAGGGTCGTTACAATGACTGAGGAAGCTTGAACAACTATACATTTCTGGAGAATAAAATTAGGTCTGACAGCTAATTCAATTTATAAAAATTTAATATTTAACTAATATTTGTATTTGATAAATTAATATTTAATTCATATAGTAGGGGAAAAACGGTAAATCAACTTTAGGGTTAGGAGGTTCCTACTTATAATAATATATGATGCTAAATGGTAGTGTAAACAAATCTTTATTGTGCCTTATCACAAAGGTTACAATTATTTGGAAAATTTACAACCCTTCAGAAATTTCACAACCTTTCATAAAAGTCGCAACTTTTGATTAAGTCGCAACTTTTGATAAAAGTCACAACTTTTCATAAAACTCACAACTCTTCATTAAAGTCATAACTTTTCATCAATGTTGCCACTTTGACAAAATTTTCATAAAAGTCACATCTTTTCATCAAAGCGGAAGGCTAATTTTGGAAATAAATAAATTTAAAAGGAAATTCTTGCTTTTGGTGGCGCCACATATGTATGATATGACTCTCTTGATACTCAAGACTAAAGAATGATTTTATTTATTACCACTACTTATGTGACTTGGATTGTAAGGATGTTTGATTAAAAATAATTATTATTATGTAAAAATTATCCTTTAGTTTTACTAATTTACTCTTTCTTAATATTTCAATATTTTCATCGAAGAAAAAATTTCATATTTCAGCATTTATATATGTTACAAATGTATTATCAAGTTAACAAGATTTCTAACTTCAAAATATATTATTTTAAATTTTTTTGATTTTTTAAAAATAAAACTCACGATAATCTAAAAATATGTGAATATAAATGAATAAAATGACATCTCTACATGTTCATATGACATATAAAAAGATTATGTTGAATACACGTGCAAAACACATCAGATTAGATGACAAGAACACATGCAACAAATATCGTTTATAAAGTATTATTGTTAAGATACTACTACTTACATGATTCAACCTCATCAAATTGAAATAAATATGTACATTATTTCATTTAATTAATAAAATTGTTCACTGAACATCATTATAGGTCTGTGTTAATAAGAGATATATTTGACGATCTACATTGAACATTCACAAAAGAATCTGTATTATTATTTTGTGCTAAGCTTATCATTCAAATCTTAGCTTAAATTTTTTGAATTGATAATCCCGTGCAAAGCACATGTCAAAAATCTAGGTATATAAAATAACGAGGGATAATAACAATATTGGTCCTTAAGATAGAGGGTTCATACAATGTATGAGATACAATTAGTAATAACTAAAAAGATTCATATATG